AGTTGTAACTTGCCGAGAGTCGCTGTAACGCATTAATGGCTGCGCGTGGAAAGAAAGAGATAGAGACAGAGATAGAGATAGAGATAGATGGAGAAAGAGAAACAGGTGGAGAGAGGGCAGCAAGAGAATCCCCTTATATAAGTGTCATATTAAAGTCCTTCCTCAACATCGTTGATGGGCTGCCGCGAACGAAAACGATCGAAGCCTGTTATCAGCAGTCTTTTGAGACCCCATCGAACAATTTTACGTTCTATTATGTTTCGATGCACGAGCACCGTCGTTTTCGCGTCAGAGAAATCGCGGACTGCGGAGTAATTCCGACGAATCGTGAAATTGCGAGAACGATTCAACGACTCGATCGTCCTTATTATCGAAATTTCCTACCGCAATAGCGCCGATACCTATCGAAATTCGCTTAACTCGAGATCGGTGCCTTCGGCAGTGGTCGTCAGATCGAAATATAAACATAACAGTTCGAAGACACGAGTAACCCCGTGGGTAAAGAGAGCGTGGCCAGGTAACAGAATACGACCGTTGATTCGCGAAGGCGCAACATGAGAGAACGGACGTTCCGGCCTTGACAGATGGATAATATACGTACACCGCGTACTAAGCTGCGCGACTTTCATTTATTAATGAAACCGACATTAATGACCGGTCCGGCGAGTCGGCGCGGCATGCATGAGATCGCGGATTCCTCCGTTATAGGCAGGAAAAATGTGGGGGGTAGGGTACATCTCCGCGCGCGAAATCGCGCGGTAGGCAAGTTGAAAAATTCGGGAGAAAGCAGGACTCGTTTCGATCTCTGTCAGAAAATTTGCCGAGACCGTGTCGCAACGCGGCACGTTTCACGTAATAGGCATATAAGTTGGCGTGTCAGCCGCCACGAGCCACGCCGGCGCGCGGCGGCCGGATAGACCCGCGCGCGGCGATTCAGCCCCGCGATCGACGATCGACGTGAATGGATCGTGAGCGACGGAGATCGCGCTTGTCGATCGTCATCGACGCTGGTAAGTGGCTCGATCGACCGCTTGCCATCGTTCGGGGAATCGCCTCGGCTCAGACTGCGGCACGCGATCGCGTTCTCCGGCGCGCGCGCGACACGCTTGTTCAAAACTATAAAAAGTGCGTGGCGCACGGGTTTTTTTGCATCTCTCGCGTGTGGATTATACAACAGCTTTTACCGATTGCGTTACTGTATACAGTAACCGGAATACCGGTCGCCTAGGCGAGCGATTAGGTTTACGCCGAGGTTTACGCACGATTCCACAAGAATGTATACTGCTTCTACCGCGCGACGGTAAAATAATATTAACGTCCGGTCCGATTTGTACCTTGCCTGAAAGTTGTCCGTAATTAATCTAGAACACCAGCCCCTTATGTAACTTCGTAATGCTCTATTAATTTAATAAGCATATAATTAAAAAGAAAAGTGGAACATTTCTTCATAGGTCAAAATTTCAACTCATACACGGGAAAAAAAAGTTGTCAAATATGGACAATTAACATTTTCTTGCAGCAAGAGTTATATTTTTAGCAAAAGGTTTTGCTACTATTGCTAAATATATAGCTCTCGCAGCAAAAGAAATGTTAGTTGTCCATATTTTACGACCAAATTTACTACGGTAGCTAATTTTTTTCCGTGTACGTGATAAAAAAATCCTAAAAGCGTAATCTCATTACGAGCAGCGAAATATATCAAGTATAAATTGGAAAAATTATTAGACAAGGGATGAAACTAAAATTGAAAATTAAACTTAAAGATCCAAGAGAGTTAGATGATAATAGTTCATCATCAATAGTACAATGTCAATTATTACTGATTTTATCAATATTTACCAGTGATACTTTGTGCTGCTTTTTATCGCCTTCGGAATAGAACTTTAATCATGTGTAATAACAAGTCAAGTTTCTCGTGATATCAATTTGCCGCAGTTCCCACACACTTTGAGAATTAGATCGATTATGTAATAGGTGTTATGCCATGCATAAAGATTTGTTTATATTTGATACATTACATCATCAGCTAAATTCCGATCTTCAAAGTGAACGGGTTCTTCGACGAAAACTCATTAAAAACCAAAACAGATACATCCATTAAGATTAATTGAAATATTTATGTGAGTACTTAAACACACAAATATATATAATTAATATATTAGTATACTACTATGAATAGTACTTATTATTAATATATATTATGGGTGCGTTAAATATCATGTAATCACACGTTATACCAAAAAACATGACGCAAATCGTAAAAGTTCATCGATTATAACACTGATTTGCCGATATACCAATTTCCTTGAAATATGAGAGCAAATACTAATTACTTAGGTAGAGAGATTATACAATTGTGGGCAGCGCTGATCATAAACAAAAGACCTTGAAAAAGCATGTAAAAACTAGCCGGCGGAGCTAAAGGATAATTGTACGTATTTTTCCTTTACCCGCAAAATATACCCACAAGATTGTTTTTTCTTGTTTCCTCGCGAATTGTGCCATCAGTTTATTTACGTGTCTGCAAAGTATTCCACGCGCCAACGATCTCGTATAGCATGTGCTTTCACGCGTGTAAATTAAATTAAATATGTCGAAAGAAAGTACTTCGTTAAAATCGACAATCGTTAAATTTAATAAAAATATGTTAATAAAATTAATAGTATTCCAAGGAACAATATTAAGCGGTAATTAATGATATTACATAAGCGATTCATATCATTAAAATTTATTATATGAATACTGATATGTTTATCATATAATGTGTTGTGTAAATTATTATTGAAACAAGTCTTCGTGTAAAACCACATTTTTTTTTCAAGATTTAATAGGTTTTATGCAGTAAAAACCTACTAGATTAAAACAAGAAAAAACAACAGGAAAACCCAAATTATATTCGCAAGTCACTCGGAAAGATAAATTAACGTTTTCCGTCACGCACGTGTTAGTTTTTTTCGACGTAAATTATAAGCAATAATGTATTTTTATGATAATTTCTTGATGCAAGGAAAAATTCGGATGTATCTATCAATCTTTTTTTTTTAGTTTCATTAGTCTTAAAAAAAAATTGGTGTTGAGAAATGAATAAATCTCGCAATTATTGTCAGAAAGAAAGAAACGCAGGAAAATTTTTTCATCACGTACGGTACGTCGCGAGGAATCTCGGTCTCGTAGCATCCCACTCGCATGTTACGTGTCGCGTATCGTGCGATAATTAAACCACATCATTGTACGTTGCGTCGCATTATATAATATAAAGTCACGCGCGATATACATACGGCCGCGGCGGTGTCAGAGTTTTGTTGTGGAAGCTCCATTCTCTCACTTCAGAACAGCGTCATTTAGAGCCGAAAACATAGTTTTTCAACGGGAAGCATAGTCTGTGATTAGTGTACACGAGTAACATGATTCAACCACGCGTTACGTCTTTGCTAACACGTAGAGTGTGCGTCTTTCACATCGAGAATGTGAGAAAAATAAAAAAAGAAAGGGAAAAATAGAGGAACAGAGATCGAAAAGAAACTAGGGCTTCGTAGCTCTTCGAGCGCTAGAACTGTTTTCTGTCGACATTGAAGAAAGGCACATTACAATTTATATATCTTATCCATCGTTGCGAACGAGCTCTCATTTGCCTTGTTTTGTTTATTTATGTTTATTTATATATCTTATTTATAATTATTTTCTGTGATTAAAAGTAGCGATAAACAGTTGTCGTTACAAAGAAAATTTGCAAAGATAAAGGAGAAGATATATCACGTGTGCGAATAATGAGGGAATACAAATTTTGAAAGCGTTCAAAAATTCAAATTTGTTTCGCGCTGAGATGCGTCAAAGCCGCGAAGCAGCGTCATAGATTTTCCGGTTTTCCGATTACGGGCAGATCGCGGGGCGACGATCGTAATAATCGCGCGGAATCCCCGCGGCTGACGCAGTCAGCGACGTCGAACTGTCGACTTGTTGTGTTGCGAGCGATCGTCCGCCTTGCTAATCGCGCAGCGAAATGAACGCAGAAGAGCTCGACGACGCGGTTCGCATTATGAAGCGTTGACTCAAGGCTTCCTTCGGTACGTAAGGATGGCCTAACGACTATAAATACGTTCATTAAATGATCCCACGAGTCTGTCGCGAACGGGTGGAACGTGAATCGAAACCCAAATCGCGCGCCCGTGATGATGATTCATAAGAGAAGAGACGCGGCAAGGAAGGAAGGAAGGAAGGAAGATATATATATTTCGTATGCACTCTCGGACCGATGCCGAGCGGTCGATCGATGGCTGATCGGAAATAATTAAAACGTTCAGTCACGCGTTGGACAGCCATTCCTCGAAACTACGTCCATATTATTTCAATTCAATTTACGATCTCGCGAACGTTGTAATTCGATTCTGTAGAATTTCTTTCATTGACCGCCAATAACAAGGATATAGATCGGTGGAATTGTGATAGATTCGTATCTCGATTTATGTCATAGACAATAGTATTTTCTTGGTATTATCAAAAATTGAACACACCGATATTGCACTGATCCTTGACGCTCGGTTTCAAGCGAGTTTCATCAACAACGGCGATAATTTATTCATAGAAAAGCCCATGCAATTCCCTTTTCTTTATGTTACTGACTGGAAAAAGAATGAAAATACGTTTTTATTTGACGGATTACAGATTACTCGACAAATAAGAATTTATTATATCGATACGTGCTATAAAAATCGCACGTATGATATAAAAATTACATGTGACCAGTTTTGTGAATTGTTATGTTATTGCACATTATATTATTGTAATATAGCCTTCAAAGATCAGTTATTTAACACTAATATTTCTTTATGTATTAATGTAATAATATAGTAATATAATCTTATTAATTATATATTATTATTTTCTTAAAACCAAATTATATTAATCGTTAATATTATCACTCGCTATTGATGAAACTGGATCAACGCCGAGGGATCAACATTAACCGATATTGAAAGAGAAAAAAATTTCACTATACTTACTAATTATCGAAAAATCGCGCGCTGATTGCGCCCCAATTGATCAACGTTCGTCCAAAAATCTTAACACACACTACAATCGTGACACTCCAACGAAAGCGAAAGCGGTCTTCTTCTCTTCTCTCTTTCTTTCTCTCCCTCCAATCGATCGTCGTTCTTGACCGTTTTTCTCAAACTTGCGTTTTATCGGAAGAACGAAGAGATCGGACGACGGTGATGATATCGGAGATGATTCTGCGCGAAAAATCGCAAATCTGCGTTATTTCGGCTTTCTCCGATCGCGGTCGCGGACGCGGGATTTGCGCTTTCGACGAGCCGAACGTTGTTGAAGTTTCGGGAGATAACGATTTAAGAAAAAAACAAAGAAGGAATTAGAAAAAAAGGGAGGAAAAGAAAGGAAAAGAGAGGAGCGTTATCGACCGTGTCGATATCGAAGCGACGAACACACTGTCGTCGTGCCAACTCGCGGACTGGCGGACGTAACACCGGTGCATTGCTTTTAACCGATTCGCCATATTGGTCCCTTCTACCACCTCTCTCTCTCTCTCACTCACTCTATCTCACTCCTCTCTCTCTCTCTCTCTCTCTCTCTCTCTCTCTCTCTCTCTCTCTCTCTCTCTTTCCCGCTCGCGTCCTCCGGATCTCGTCGTCGTATAGGCCGTGCGCAACGCGACGTCGAGATTGTGGTTCACCTGCACATGGCTCTTGACGTCGTCGCGTCGCGGTGTTTGCCGCGCGTGATGTCAGCGCGACGAACCCGATGCCGGTGATGCCTAAAAAGCGGAGCCGAACTAGGTGAGGAGCACGAACGAACGCGACCGCTACGACATGTCGCGAGCACCAGCGAGCCCAAATTTGCATCGACGAATTGTCTCTCTGTCAGTATAGTAAATAGAAAAAGCGTTCGTTTTCAACGCTCATCCGTATTCGTTCGTGTTTGTTCGCCCACGTTAGTTCGATCCGGATGCACCTTAATGCGACCCCGCGGATATCTCGAAGGATTATGTCATATTTTACGTCAGACGCGTTTCGCGACGTGCAAACAATCAGTCCTTCAATCTGCACTTTTGACGCAGCTTCTCGTGTTCTTTCGCCCCGTCACGTCGAGTATTCGAGTAAATACGATTGCACATGGGATAATCTTATTTATCGAGTGATTTCTAAAAGTGGAAAATGCCGTCACGATACATACGACGGTTCGCGGAATACAAAAAATTATGCGAATTTTATACCGAATTACTCGCCGATCGGCCGCTAGCTAGTTCACGAACGCACAAAGACATCATGTATATTAAAAAGCGAATAATTATCAGAAGTACAGAAAAACAAGACGCTGCTGGCCATTGTTCGCACATTATCAAGCCAAATCAATCGAATGTGTATAATAATTTTTAGCAAAGTTACGAAATGACCCTGAAAATATTTTTTTCTCGCAGACGTGACCTTATGCCTTTGTCTCAATCTTCATGCATCGCTGTTTTCTAACGAAATATAAAAATACGGAAGTGACAGAGAAACATTTGTCAAAGAAATATTTTTATAAAAATTTCGTGAGCTACTCCTTATATCTGTCCTGAGATATGGACGAGATAATTGTTATTAATGATGAAACTTTCATCTCGTTAAGGTGCCTTTTCATGCTGACGCTCGACGCTCATTTTCAGCGGCAAGAAGGTCGCATGACCACAATTGACGCCGGCGTCAATTGAAATTCATGAAAAGAAAAACAGCGTCAAAATTTCGGCGTCTTCGCGCTGCTTTGGCTTTGACGCTTGATGTTGGAAAAATCTAACTTCTCTTTCTTGACTCTGGCATCATAGTGATGTCACGTGACGACGCTCAACGCTGTTTTTCAGCGTCCCATGAATTGGCACCTTTAAGGTATATGTACACGACGGCTTTCCGACAGTCTTTTTTTTCACCCGAGACAATAATGCCCTTCATCCCTAATATACACCTGACACGCTTTTTTTTGTTTTCTCGACTGAAAAATGCAATTATATACGGAAGAATTGAACGAAGAACGAAGTTTCAATCGACTTCGCGTATAAACGCGATTTATCTCAATTAAATAAAAAATTTCAATTAAATTTCGAAGGATTCCAACAGAATGGACACATGTATAAACGCAGGAAGGTCTTAACTCAAAAAATATAATATTCATCCTATTATGAAACAATTAAGCCATAGTCGAATTTAAAGAAATTTCGTCAAAGAACTTAATTGCCAGACCAAAAATCGTATTTTTATTTAATTGTGCTCAATTCCAACGAATGAAATGTTATTCTATATTGTATGAACGACGATGTTACGTATCATAATTAAAATATGGATATAGAAAGATTGAGATATGTCAAACACATTAATAAAAATTTGGCAATCCGAAACTGTTCAAAAAATTTTAAAGATTATAGATTGAATTATAATCCTTATCATCTCTCTAAAAAATCAATCTTGAATACCTACACATCTCACTGTACAATACATACAATACACACAAGACCATAAAACATAAGTATAGTTTATTTCTGCGTCGCTCGGTGCGGAGATGCTATTTTGAGTTTGGTCTTTCCAGGAAAAAGCCGGATATCCCGCCGAAGGCCAGACAAGTTCAACGACACGGAATAAGGAATTCCGATAATTATATCGGTTTGATAAGACATGACTTCCTACCCTTTGATTTACTGCCCTGCTGACAAGACGGTCCTTGGCAATTTCGTGATTGTCACCTTTCAATTGCGAAACAGAGGTGCGATCGATCGACGGTGTCTTGAATTGAATTAAACGAGCTTACGTCTCTCGAACGCCTACATTTCCTTCTGCTCGTACAGATACCTTTGCCGAGTCCAAAGATCGCGAGTCTGGAAGAGGTCTCCGGAAATATATGGGAATCACTCTCAGTTTCAACGAACATTCAAGGGCACCAAAAGAAAAAGAAGCAAGTGAATTAATCGAGAGATTAGCATGTGAAGGAAGTGCGTTTTAACTGTTATTGTATGCGCATAGCATTAATCATGACAGAAAAAAAGCAATCGTGCTAGGCCTGTAGAGGAGAAAGATATATAATTTCTTCTCCAAGGCCATCAGCACGATTGCCTTTTCTCTCATTTTTTTCCCGATTTTGAAAATCCCCTCATGCTTGTTAATTCTTCAAGAAGGTATGTTTTGACAAACGAGTTTTGACAAAAATCCCCTAAATCCAAGACAGGAATCTCGTCACGCGTCTCGCGCCTATACGTTCTTTCGCAGCGCAGCGGTATTACACCGGCAGTATTTAGCGCAACACTTCGCTTTCTTAACTTTAATTTTGTAAGCGGCTTTTGCGATCTGAGAAAAATAATAGCGTCGGAGTAACGACGGTTAGGCGACCGTGCAATTATATTCAGGAAGCGATCAATATTGCATGATATTTTTACGTAACGCATAAACAATGGATGCGCTAATCGATTTGACGTCTACTGCTAGGCCGTCATTAAATAGAACGTTACCGTACGGGATTGCTGTGGCGCGGCTGATCTTGCAAAATTATTTGCGTGCAGATAAAGGGAACATCCGCGAAGAAACACGCATACATTTGAGAACTCTACATTATTGCTTAATGCTTCGCGTGTATATGTAGGTAATAAATTCTTTTATGAATAATATTTTATATTACAATCATTTTTCTATTGCGTTGCAATCACCTATATAAAAACCATAAATTGGCGTTGTGAACAACTTTTTGCAATTGTGAAAAAAAGATAGTGTGTCTATCGAATTATATGAATTGTATACGCAATATGAGAAGTAATCATTTATAAGGGGATCCTATAAAGACAGGATCGAAACAGAAATCATTTCATTATCATTTTATCCTTGGATGTATGGCGGTATTTTTGTGGAAAAATAGTAGATATCAATCTTGTAAAACGGTAGTAGCATATACAGGAATATGTTATACTTAATCGAATATATATCTCAAATAAAATTAATTTCTCTCTCGAATGATCTGAATACGGGCGGCATTATCCATGATTGCGTGATAAGAGACTCGTGAATTGCAGAAATTTTCAATGATTTGACGAAATAATTTGCAACAACGCATTATCATTGCACGATATACAATCGTGTTTTCAACTTCATCGCGCTTTACATAAATTAAATAGGTTAAGAGGAAATCCTATTAAACAGGTCAATCTGAAAATTTGAATTCACGTCATACCGAACCAAATACATAACCAATGCGAACTCGCGATATAAATAAATCTTAAAATACAAAGTTCTTCAATTTGCATTATTCAAAATCAAGATCAACTTCACTTGACTTTGCAATCATGAACTTTATTCGTATATGCATTGTATGTAAAATCAACAAAACGTAAATTATTCATGTATACGAAAGGTGTAACTCTTCTAAATTTTAAATTATTATGAGAAAGCTATTTTGCTAACATATTTTTTAATGGAATAAACGACTAAATTTCTTATATGTGTTCATAATATATTAATCCATAAATCTAATAATGATTAATATATAAATACAATTCCTTGTTAAGTAAACAAATTAATTAATTAATTATTATTTTCATCATCTTTCTTGTTTTACTTACTAAAAAATATATTTCTTTAATATTTATGTAAATGGTGACTTTCTATAAATTTTTAACAGAAAAAATCTGCCCTTACGCGAATACGCGTTCGAGTATTATCTATAATAACCAGTAATCATTTTCTCAGTGCCGAAACATTTATATCTTAAAAAAATCATTAAACATAAAATAAAAAAAGATAACGCACAAATTGTCACGAAATATATGTGTTTTGATAAACAAATTATGCTGGAAATTATTACTACATTCTGGGGGTTATTGACATCCGATCTTGACGGAAAATATGCAAGATACAACGAGATATAATAATAGATATCAATATCGCATAATATATACGTCATTCATTTTTTGTGATAATTAGTCAGGAAAACAGTTTTATATTAATTTAGAAAAACGCGTAAAATATACTGTATACAATGCATTAAAAAATTATTAAAATTAATCAAAATATTAGAAAATTAATAAGCATAAAAAATGTTACTGTCTGCACAAATAAATTGCTATCGAGAATTACTAATTAAACGAGAATTAGATAAATATTGACAACAAACAACTTCACATATCCTTAAAATATGCAGTCATAATTGAAGTCATTTGGTCAAACAATAATAGAATAAGACTGACGTATTGTTGACCATTTTTAAATAATTCGGATGTTTTTAGTCATTTCTTTAAGCTTTCAGATTGTCTGGATTGATTTAATCTAAAAAATAATGTGTTTTCTTAATATATTCGTATAAATATTATATTTATTAAATCCGTATGAATACGTAAAATGTCGCGAATATAAGCAAAAAAGAATGTTCCAAAGTACACAGCACGTGTGTGTACTTTTGTGTTTCAAAGTACAAGAGAGTGCCAGAGAAATATAGCTTTACGTTTTATCTCTACAA